GGTGGAAGTCTCAACTCTACCTAGTCTGGGATGTGTTTAATTTAATGATGGTGGGATATTGTATGCCGCCTGTTATTTAAGTTCAGGAGTTGTTTAGCCCACCCTGCCAATCACTCTTTGTTCTCTTGTGATGACCATTAAATGTTTTCAAACCGTTTCCCTAGGAAATGACACCTGTCTAGTTCCATCAGTGTTATCCATCCATCCATTATCTATACTGCTTATTCCTGAATAGGGAAGTTAGACCTACGTTACAGCTGTGGATACAATGGCCCTGTCAATGATTTTATGTTTTCTAAAATATTGGGGTAGCATGATTCTGTAGGGTTAGTGCTTGAAGAGTTAATCACCAAGATTATGTTGTAGTCCATTTGCAAAACTCAACGTTTCTTGCTGCCTGTTACCTAGGCAGCATTTCAATGGTTATAACAGTAGGGTAATAAAAAAAGACTTTTACAGTGACGACTTGACAGCAGTGTGTGGACACTAAGAATATAAAAAGCATATTATGCTACAGATGTTTTTCTTTATAGAAAAATAATAATCCTCAAAGGTAAAAAATGATTGTTTTACATCACCCTCAGGAACACTTCCTTGAGGCAAGCTGTATTTGGCTGCAGTTTTTCATCATAAACACTTTGAAACATCACAACATCCAGCTTTTGACTGGTCTTCTGGATTTAGCTTATGCCAATCTGAAAAATGCTAGAGCAGGTTGTTTAATGATATATTTTATTTATTTTAATGTTATTGTTGCTAATTTTTCATGGATGCCATAACAGGATGCCATACAGCACAGATGCCAAAGTTAAAAGTGCATTTTCATGTGTACGCAGTGTGCACCTTAGTCACCTGAGCCACTTGCATACAGCCCTTCAAGTGTGGCTCCATACCCTCCCCCCCCCCCCTCCCCTCCCCCCCCCCCCAGCCCGTTAAGTAGAACTTTCAAAAGGATTTCCAAGAGCATTCCTCCTTCTGACTGCGACAACTCTTTATTGAATATCTTCTGACACAAAACTTGAAAATGTTGTTTCTTTGTGCATATCAAATATGAGCAAGTCAAATCTCAAATGACTTTGATTCAAAACTCTTTATATTATGTGTAAATCTTTTTGTATAGATACATTCTGTCAGTGTCTTAATGTACTGTGCTAAATCTAAATCTACTGTGCTTTAATGTTAAATCTACTGTGTTTAGAATACTTTAGTAGCAGTTCCCTTACCTTTTCTGCTCCAAATCACTGGCAAAAGCTACTGGCCAACACCATGCATTAATGTGAAAAGGTGGCCCTTCACAGTTCAGTGGCAAAATGTGTCACAAAAAAAAGAAAAAGATATTCAAAGTAAGTTATATACTGTATTCGCAAATTATGGATCCTGATCATCCAGTTTTAATGCTATCATCCCTCAAATCCTCACTGAAAATAGACATTTTTCTCACATCACAATGTGTTGATCCACACTAAAAATGATACAGTTCACAACAGTAAACAGCACAGCAGGCAAACAAGTCAGTTCAAGTCAAACTCAAATGTCTCAGCAATGTGATGTAAACACCTGCTGTCGTGTCATTTCATGTTTGCATCCACAGCACAACAAGATAACAAAGTTGTCCTGTAGCTAAATATGTTTTGGCTTTTGTTTTCTCCAATTTGTGAACAAAAACAAACAAAACAATTGATCTATTCTTCACTGATTGTTTCACTGACTGGCATGGTATTCAAGTAATACAATCCTGTGGGAACATCTTATGCTGTTGCATTTAATATTTGTATTTTTCTTCTGTTTTTGCATCACCTAAGGTAAAATGGGAAGGGGTTGTTTGTTCCAAGAACTGCCCCTGTTATGGTTATTTTATTTGTAGGGTTCAGTAACCATGTTTTTTGAGAGAGACCCCTGGTATACTTTAAGTAACCATGACCCAAAGTCAACCAGATGATTTCACTCATTTCATGCCGATAAGGTCTTTGAAAGCACTAAATGCCTGTTCCAACAAGCAGGTTTACTGATGTGTGTCTTGACGATTTATTAGAATTATTGCTGAAGTATGGACTCTATTTTCCTGAAATGGGGCATAGAGACAAACGCAAGTCTAAACTCCAACAAAAGCGTATATGGAAGGATTCAACAATATTTTGCAATTTTGGTGACCATTGGCATTGGTGCATGTTGGGCACAGCCGGGCACAATGTGGAAGAGAAACTAAATGCATTATTAGAGGGAGGAATGCATTATGAGCTGGAGTCAGGGGTGGCTTTTGTAATGGCCAATCAAGCTCCTCTCCAGCTCCTCTCATCCCCTTTAAGAGCACCACAGGAATCCTGACTTTGGTCGATGTCACTGATGCAACAATGGCTGATCTGAGGAGGCTCTATCAGAAAGAGCGTTTGCTTTGCGTCGACAGGAAAATTGAGCCCAGTGTGCTTGTTGGAACAGATGCCTGCTGCAGGTGGGAAGAAGTTCTCAGTGGCACATTTAACTGCCTACATCACTTGAACTTGTGTTTTGTTTTGTATCCATTAACAGGTGTTATAGAAGGAACTACTTACTGTACCACTTCTTCCACTACCATGCCACCAAAATTAACAGAAGCCTAGGTCAAACCTGGAGGTCACAGGTATAGCATGGCTGAAGCTATGAGCTATGAGACCTGCAATAATGGTTCATTTGGCCACTTGGGGGAAGCAGTGGTTCTGGTTGTCTGTCAAATATAATTTCATTTTAAATAGAATTTCAACTCAAAAACTATAATTGCCCATGTACAAAGAATTCACACACTTAGCTGTGACACTCCAAACTATGGCCAGGTGTATCTGGAAGCATTGTCCTGGAGATGTCTCCAGAACTCATATGGAGTCCACCTGTGGCAAACTGAATTGATTGGACTTTGTACATAAAGGAAAAGCATGTTTTCATTAACTGCTGAGTGTATCAATGAACAAAAATGACCTAATGGGGTCTGAATATTTGATGAAGTGACTATATATAGATCTTTAACAGCTTAATACTGCACTATGTTTATCAGCTAGTTGCAATGTATATCTGTATGTTTCATGCAGAGAAGGTAGTGCACAGTTTCTCTGAAAACAACTGCCCATGATGGCCAAAAACAACTCTATGAAAGCAGTGAGAATGAAACAGTAAATTTACAGTATGGGCCGGACAAATAAACAGTGAGCTTACAACCACTATAAAGCTCTGTGGAGCTGCAGATTCTGATCATAATTCTCTGCAGGTTCATCACTATAAGTAATGCCCTTCTAATTGTGACACTGTGTTCACATCATTTGATACACTGTTATTGTAAAATATCAGATATAGCTGCTTTAAAAGCGAACTGTGTGAACTACCTTTCATATGTAGGGTTTCCAACAGACTTTTTTCACCAGAGGCCTTTTGACATGTCACTATAAGAAAAACTCAGGTCTAAATAACACTATTAATTGCTGAATTGCGATTAACAGATTCTGTTTGAGGGTCCTAACATTGTGCATGCTCATTGTTGCACTGGGCCATTTGAATAGATTGGAGCCATTGTTACTGTACCTGTGGATTTCCAGGGTTTCTGAATGAGCAGCAGAAATGGATCATTGAAAGGATGGATGGATTACCAAATTAAATAATATATAACAAATTAATTTATTTATGTTGTAATGTAAAGTTATGAATTTTACATTAGGGCTGAGGTCTGGAATATAGCACTAGGGACTTTCCAGCCAGCTTTTAGGATCATAAATAAAAACATTTTATAACTAGGATTATTTACTATGGCAAGTTATAGTAGAAAAAACATTTAAGACAATTGTAAATCAGTACTTTTTTCAGTGCTTTTAATTTAAAGACTTTTCAAGACCTGCAGAAATCCTGTTTTCCTATGTCAAATCACAACGTCACCTCAGGCACGTTTGACTTTGGGAATTTTCCAGGTCATCCGGTTTGTCTCAACTTGTGAGAGATGATCCGCTTCATTTCCCTAGACCCTTTAAGCATTGTAGGCTACACCAGATACATAAAGATGAGTGAACAATTAAGGGACAATCCAACATAAAGTGTCTCAGTAAGGTGTTGAGCCACCATATGCCACCAGAACAGCTTCAGTGCATCTTGGCATTGACTCTCCATGTCTCTGAATTCTACTGGAGAGATGAGCAACATTCTTCAAAAAGATATTCCCTTATTTGGTGATGGTGGTGGAGGTGCTGTCTAACACATTGTTCCAACATCTCACCATGGGTTCAACTGGGTTGAGATCTGGTGACTGTGAAGGCCGTGGTATATGACTCACATTTTCATACTCAAACCAATGACCCCTCATGCCCTGTGGATGGGGGTACTGTCATCCTGGAAGAGAAGACGACAACTAGGAAGGCACACACACAAAAATGACTGAATGAATATAGTGTGTCTTGTGTGAATAGGCTATTGTGTGAAGATAGTGTGCTCCTCTGAATAGTATGCTGGTTCTACTTTCACTGTATAGTAGTTTATCTAAAATATTTAAGGCAATAAATGCTGGTCAAATTAGATGTCAGATGATAGTTATATTAACTCAACTTATTCAGCAGATTAGGAGAGTTTGTTAATTTATGACACAGTTTATTAGGGTTGCCAACTTCCAGAAATGACAATAAGGGATGCCTGGGGGGTGGGAGTGTTATGAAAGAATTTCAGTCGTGCAAACACATTTGAGATTACAAATAGAATCTTCTAAATAAAAGAACATTTAATTATTGAAATGTGTCTATTTAGGGCAACTGGACTATGGAACACAGCCTCTGGAGATGTCTGGCGGACAAGGAACTTTGACACTTCTTCCTCTCCTTGTGTCTTCCCCCTGATACTTTAGTGATTTTCACTAGATGCAAGCAAGGCCACGGGAATTAGGGGCACGGACAGTGCTGCAGCGCCCCCTGGAGGATTGTAGAGGAAGGCTGGAGCCGATCCCAGCTGACACCGGACGAGAGGCGGGGTCCACCCTGGACAGGACGCCATCTATCACAGACAGCTATCAATTTAAAACATAAAAATAATAAATGAATAACCAATCAATGCTTTATTGGCCGTGTTCATATTCTGATCTTGGTAAGTGGTTAATAGAAGATCTTGGATTTCAAACCTTACACACTTGTTGCAAACAGGCGCGCAACGGCACAAGAAAATGGTGATGCAAAAAAAGAATTTCTGATTTCTTTATCAATTCATCAAAAAGAGTAAAACAAATTTAGCTTCCATTCTAGCTAGCTAACTTGCTAGCAGTTAATTCATATTGAACCAAAAGCCAAATCAAATAAAGAACTAAAGCCAAGCTGAAGTTTTTTTGTTTGTTGGTTGGTTTTATTTGAAAGTTTATCATAATTAATTCAAATGTCTTGCGTTCCATCTAAATAACACACTGTTTGCGTGCGGTGCGTAGAACAGCTGGCCTACCTGCTGTCAATCAAATCATCAAATGCAGCTGTTCTCAGCTCAGACCACCGACGGGCCACAGGCACAAGGTTTCTCCGAGTAGCTGCTCCGGATTCACCTGGTCCCAAAGACGTTTTTCTACAGATATACAAGCTGAAGTTGAACTAGTTTTAATAATCGGGTCGTGACATGCCGCTGTTAGTACAACACCCCGCTTATTTCTCCAAATCTAGACTGAAGTCAGATTTAGTTGCGCACAACGTCGCGCTGCCACCTGCTAAGAGCAAAAAGGAGGTTTATGTGGAGTTGTACTTAAAACACATCGATCAAAGAAGCGATTTTTCCAGCGACGAGGAGGATTTGGTGCAAGATGTGACAGTGAGTTGATCAAGTTTTGGGCGTTTTGCACCTGAATATTAAAACAACAACAACAACTTTTGTGTAGTAAACAGGTTCTGCTCTTAATCACAACTTGCTTTTGATAGGATGGTGTTGTTGAAAGACCGATAGTGACAGAAAAGCGTTTTCCTACTGAGAAAAGACTAATTAGATTAAATTGTCACCATTACACAGATGTGGGGGAAGTACTCATTTTACTTAAACTACCAAGACCTAGTACAAATCTACTTTGTACTGAGTCTAAGCTACTTCATATCTGTCAAATTGATTTGGTTTTTATTAGATCTTATAAAAACATGTATGAGTGCATAAGCAGCATTTCAACTGTAGCAACTGCTTGAGGTGCAGCCTACCTAAGTGGTTTTCAACCTTTGGATCAGGGTTTTACAAAAGGCCACAAGAAAAACCCAGAATCCTGAGATTATTAATGGGAGAGGGGGGGGGGAAACTGACTCAAAACCTTTTTCAGTTTCATGGGAAATGTTGGACAGTGAAACATTTGGAAAGAAAATGCAGAAGTGTTAACAAGTGTCTGAAATATGATAAGGCACAGGCCGCAAAATGGTTGGGAACCAATGTGAGCAGTCTTTACCAATGTGTTTTCTAAGATGTTTGAATAATAAGTTGTTTTTTTTTATCTAGTCATAATCTGAAAAGTGACTAGTAACTAAAACTGCCACATAACTGTAGTGGACTAGTAAGTATACTTATCTCTAAAATGCAGTAGAGTATATTCTAATACTCAAGTGCAGTATAAGTACTTCAGAAATACTGTGGATGGGAGGAGCAGCAAATGTGGGTCACTGTTACCAAACTGTCCTCAGCTTTCTGTGCCACACTTGAGGTCCTTGACCACTAAGCCAGCAGCTGTATACTGTAGTTGGTATAGGTATAGATTTACATGAAACGTTTCTGTAGTTGGCAGCTGCCATATGGTCGTGTACATGTGCTTGCCACACCTGTCGTACTCAGTTATATGCGCCAGGAGGAGCCTAGCATTTGAAGTCTGTAAGTTGTTTCTGTGCTGTGGGATAGGCTGAGTTGTCTGGGTGGGCAGAGTTCCTACTATGAAATCAACTACACTGTCAAGTGAACGTTTCAGGTTTTATCCCCAGTCCCCAGTTTTATGTTAACAAATTGAATATCTTTTTTTCTGATCACAGGCAAAACAAGCTGGTGCATCCTGTGCTGTAATAAACTTGGGACTTTTTCCCCCTGATGTTTTTGTCATTTCTTCTTGTTATTTCTGAATTTAAGTTTCGGAACAGTTTATACATACAGTCACATGAAGCTAGGACTGGTGTGGTAAAAACTGACTTGGAGATTCCCTGTGAATGTAAGTGATATCAGAAACACAACATTTTATGACGGTGTTGAAACGGGCAGAATTGGTGCATACTGCAGCACACGTGCGTATAATAATATCTGGTAAGCCAGTATTTGATGATGGACACTCAAATTTGTTTTTCTTTAATCCTGTGGTGGTTGATTTGGCATCACAAAGGTTTTTCTTAATATTTTTTATACTGTATGTCCCACACCTGGGAACTAAGCTGGAGAGTTTGTCATCTCTTGGCAAGCATTTAGTAAATGTAGCTAATTTTGTTTTGTGATGATGAGGTGGAGAATCCAGTGGTTGCAGAGGAACCTGACCCACGTGATTTGACTGATGATGACCTCAAGGCCAAATTACTTGAACACGGGGTTAAAGCTGGACCCATACTCGGTGAGGTTACACTTGATTCTGTCTTTAAATTGATTTTCAACTGAGAAATATGATTCCCATCATCCTTAGTTCAATTTAGTGTTTAGTGTCCAGAAGACTAATTAAAACTAAATGATTAAATTACAACTAATTATTATAGTATTATTTCTTGATGCTAGCCTCCACCAGGGCTGTCTATGAGAAAAAGCTCAGGAAACTGCTTCAATCTGACAGACACGACCGAGTTAATGGAGCGGAGAAAGGTGTTCTGTACTCGGATAGTGAAGAAGAGGAGGAAAGTGAACAGGACGAGGACGCAGAGTCAGGTATGACCTTACATGTTTTAGTTTTTTTGTCTAGAGCTACATTTTCACGTAATTATATACACTGTGTTATTGTTCTGTGACTTTCCCAGGTTCTGAAGGAAAAAGCCAAACAGTTGAGCAGTTGGAGGAGCAAGAGAACAGCCAGGTGAAAACATCGTAGGGCGTTCTTTACATATTTGGTTAATGAATGGTATTTATTGTATTGTCTGATGGTTAATAGGTCCTAATGCCTTTTTGCCATGATTAGCTGTTTTGAAATAAAGCGCCCCAACAGTGCCACTTAGTGGTTACAGTATGTAAATGTCCTTTCTGTGGAATAAGGACTTGGATTTTGAGTGTTAGTGTTGCTATTTTTCTTTTTTTTTCAGAATGGTGATTTTACTTACCCACAGTGCTTTTTACTTTCATCAAGACTGGTAAATATTACCGATGTTAAGAGCACTTCCACAAATTTGAACTGAATTCTTAGGGTAAATATTTCTTGTTTCAGTGTTTGATTTGGTCGGTGCTTTTTGTTTAGCATGTTCCTGCTTCTAGAAACAGGGAGCCTGATTCCAAGGGGAATGCGTTAAAGTCATCAGCGCGAAGTCTGTCTCAGAACTCATGGATTCCTGTAGGAATAAGTAGATCATCCTCTGTAGATCGCTGCTCAGGAGTAGGATCAGTGGTAGGCTGGTCTGACGTCACTTTACTTCTGGTTTTTAATTCTCTGAATCCCTTGCTTAGATTTTGAAACTTTATTGTGAGCCCTTCTTAAGCCACTAATGGGATGTTTTTTGTTTTACAGTGGTGTACACTGGTGTATAGATTGGATGAAGACTGATATGGTTCTGTTGCTGTTAACATGATACCAGTCCTTGCAGGTTCCACCTGGATCTCAGTCAGTTTCCTCTCAGGCCTTCAGCATCACTCAGATGGTTGAGGAGGAAAGTTAATGCTGTACACACCTTTAAGGCCACATTCCACATGTTTGTTTTGGGTTTGGTAATCACTGGGTAGTATACATTCTCACCCCAAACAACAGATGGAGAGTCAGAGGGCACTCTCTACTAGCTCCAACACTGAGGGAGAGGTGAATGGGAGCAATGTGCAGGAACACTGGCCACAGTCCGACAGGGTCAGTAGTGCTCACATTGTTCGGTCACACTTTAAGCTCAGATTTTGGTGGTGGTTGGTGTTGGAGAGGTTCACTGGAGGCAGGAGGAAATTCAGACTACAACATATAACATGTTACGTCTCCTTTCTTTAGCTGGACATGCCAGTTGTGGATGAGTACTACACTCCCAAGGCTTCCCCTTACAACCAGACAATGAAGGCACATACATTTTCTTGTTGGCTTCTATTTTTCTGTCCTGTAGCACTTGATTGGGGGCGTACACTGTCTGTAAGAACAGTTTTTTGACTCCTTTCATTTTTCAGTATATAACCCAAGCCAGAAAATTACACACAAAGTTAACAATTGCTCTCTATTATTTCACCACTATGTATCAGATCACTGCTCATTAGATTAATAATCGACCTTTTCCTTGTTTACTGCCAGACTCACTAGGCTTCAGTCTTTGTGGGACACTACTGTCGGACACATTTTTTCAATTTTCTCTGGTTGCTTTTGTGAGTAATTTCTTATTTTTCTATCTTCCCCAGGAGCCCTTGAAAGATACATTCAAGGATCTGTTACCAGACAATGACATCACACCCACTAGGATCTAGTAAGTGCTGTACGAACACTGTTAGAGCACAAATTAGACACTTTAAACAGCTTTTGAAGTATAACAAGGCAACTTTCATATTATCACATACAGACCTAATGTGGGCGGTTTGTCACTGGGCTATCAGCACATACTGCATGTCTGGTTTTATTTCAGTGCCACTTGTCGGAGGCCCATCAAGGGTGCAGCAGGGAGACCTGTACAGTATGCATACCCAGAAACTCCTGCCAGTCCCATAACCCTTGAGAGACGAGAGGTGGAGCGCCACCTTGTGCCCATCCACATACAGATTGTGGTCTTCCTCATTGTGGCGTGCCTCTTGTACCTCATTTATGATTATGCTGAAGACAACTCACTGGGTCCATTTGTTTCTTTATGAGACGGTCTTTACCAGGGGTTGGAGAGTGAGGAGGGGCTTCTGATTCCACCTGAGACATTGTAGCAAACACAGTATCAATGTGAACGCAGTTTCTTTGCTGACTTTGTGTGTCTGTAGGGGAGTAAACCTCAAATCCAGTTTTATTTTTATGTTTTGCTTATGGATGCATTATTAAAATTGCTCATCACTGTAGTTAAACAATTGCTAAAACAAACACAGTTGAATCTTTTAAAGTTTGAAAAGTTCTCAAATGTAAAAATAATACTTAGAATTTTTTATTTAACAACTCAAACTGTGTAATGTGTTGGTGCCTTTTGAATGAATTGATGTCGCTGTACTTGTCTTATTTTTAAATATTTGAACTATATTTCAATAAAGGATGTTTTGCTTCATAGTTTTTGTGCAGCTGATGATGGCGACTGAGGTGAAAAAGACAACATTCAGATATAAAAGTCAGCAGGGATCTTTTCATGTAGCAAAATCCATATTTACTACATATCATGAAGATTATAGGTTACAAGTTATACTGGTGCTTTCGACGGACTGGTTAATAAATCACTGAACTGGGTGACAGGGTAATGAAACTTGGCCCACACTGGCGCAGAGATAAAGATTATTTCGTATTGACAGTAGGTGTGGCTGTTTGCTTTCAGGCCAGCAGATGGCGCTCATGTAACGACCCCCAACTAATTCAGTGCCTTGTCGCAGCGAACGAGCGAGCAGCCTTCCGGAACAATGACTGACTCGAGGGCGAATTTCAAAGTGTTTAAACTTTTAAAGATTATATTTAGTAGCTTCCTTGTTGCAGCGCTTCTGTTATTTACTGTCGCATCTATCAGGACTTTTACACTGGATGTAAATGTCGGACTTCAAACCGCTCACTGGGAAAAGACGAATAACATCTCGCTTGTGATAGACCACCATCAGAGAAAGGAGCTTCTTGAAAACTTTAAAAGTAGGCCACTTGACGTTGTGTTTTACTCAGCAGCCAATGTAGTTACTCGATACCGAAACCCCGTGTGGAACATAGTTGAGTAGGCACCAGTAACATGCGTTTTTATGTTGGCCTGCTGCAGAAGCTGTCCGGATCCCCACGGTGTCATTCTCACCGACTGAGAGCAACACGACCGCGCTGCTGGACTTCGAAAGGCTCCTCCGGAAGGGTACGTTGGCTGTAAAGGATACGAGGCGCTGTGTTTACTTGGATAACGTTAGCCGGCTAAGCTAGTCACAGGTCTGTCTGGTGGACACGAACAAGATGCGCCTTTGACACACACGGTGGAGGAAAGTAACTAAAGTAACTAAGCACCGTTACTCAAGTATCTGTACTTTGAGTATTTTTATCAGCTACTTCATACTTCAACTTAACTACATTTCAGAGAAAAAAAGTGTACTATTTACTCCTTACATTTATTTGATAACTTTATTTTCAGAATGAGATGATTTAAACAAGTACAGTATAATCATAAGACTTTATTGATCATGATGGTTAATTCACAGGCTTCCCAGTAATATGTAAAGCACTTAATTATAAGCATATAAGGTAGTTAAAATTAGCTCCACCTTTGCCAGCTGAAAAAAAATGTGATGTGCACAGTAATTATAATCCAATAATATGATATCCATTAATGTAGAATATGCTTTTCTGCAGAATTAGTACTTTTACTTTTTGTACTTTAAGTGTATTTATGTTAATACTTTATATAAGGTAGCACTGGGGTTGGAGAGACACTTGAGACTCCCCCACAATGCCCGAGGGGAGAAGCACCTGGTGGGATCCCCCATAATGCCCCTTTGGGCTGGCTGTATATAGTTCTAGTTCTGGAACCTACGCCTCTGTGCTCAGCATGGGTACCTGACCGCTGACAGTTTGATGCTGGAGGAGCTCACCCTTTATGCCTTTGTCTAGGGACTCCGGTCAGAGCGACTCCAGGAACATCTCCGCCTCTGCACGCCATGCCATGGTGGCCCAGGCGCAAGCAGAGCACAACCTGTCAACTTCTGTTTAAGTAACATTTTGAATGCAGGACTTTTACTTGTAATAAAATGTTTTTACAGAGATGGTTTACTAGTCAGTTACAGACCTGACCTAACATTAACTATCTAGTTACTGATTAATGTCCTGCTTTTCTGTGTCCTCTTGCTTAACCCTCATAACTGAGAACTTGCTGATAGCACAGAATGATATTTATTTATTTTTACTTCTTTTATGTGTGAGAATTTAGCTCCTATCATGCAAGCTGGAACCAGAAAATAATTGTTTTACAGTATTTAATTTAGATATATTTATTTTTGCTTGACAAATGACATATATGTGATACTGCTGTTAAGAACAACTAAAGGGATACTCCAGCATATTAGTATTGTTCTTACTTAAAGTTTGGGGCACATTTCAATCTTTACATCTCCAGTTTCTAATATAACTTTTGTGTTAAAGATGACACTGATGGCATCTTCAACGTTACTTTTACAGATTCCCAAGCTCCATCAGATGCTTTTAAGCAGTGATTTTCACTGAATACTGAACTGATCCTAATGTGTAAAATCAGCAGGTCCCCCTTTAAACTTGCACTCTTCTTCTTGTGTCAGTCTTCCCAACAGTTTTCTCTTCAACACTGGTTCACCATGAACTGGTGGCCAACTACAGCCACCTGTTTTGGGTGCCAGGATCACAGCCTGACCTGGTGCCATACCTTCTGCTGGCCCACATTGATGTTGTACCTGCCTCAGAGTCAGATGGTTGGGAGGCCCCACCATTTTCTGCCCAGGAGATAGATGGCTTCATCTATGGTAGAGGGACCCTAGACGACAAGGGTCCTGTAATGGTGAGAGAGCAAATGTTATTTTCTGTGATCTTGCCATTAAACAGAATGAACTTACATACTTACTAACTTTTGCGATAACACTGATATGCTTTATTTCTTCCAGGGAATACTTCAGGCACTGGAGTATTTGCTGATAAAAGGTTATGCACCACGCAGAGGATTTTACATCGGTCTTGGCCATGATGAAGAAGTACTTTAACTATTCATAAAGATCTAACTTTCCAGATGAATTAAAATATGTTTGAATTTTTAAGTTAAATATTTATTTTTAAAGATTCATGGTCACAACGGAGCAGTGAACATAGTGCATGTTCTGAAGCAGCGTGGTGTGAGGCTGTCGTTTGTCCTGGATGAGGGCCTGGCTATACTTGATGGAATCATCAGTGGTCTTGAAGGACCTGCTGCTTTGTGAGAACCTGTCATACATGGATGTAACATCACAGCCTGTTTGCTTTGCAGCTTTTGCTTGATAAAAATGAAACAATTTGGCCAAGCCAGATGTTAAAACAGAATTTCAATCATAGCATAGCGCAGATGATTGATTGACATTCTGAGGTGTATATGTGTGAACATATGTTACAGAATTGGGGTAAGTGAAAAGGGTATGGCCAATGTAAAGCTGAGTGTGTCTGTGAAGCCTGGTCACTCCTCAATGCCTCCCAGTGAAACCAGCATTGGGATCTTGGCTGCAGCAGTTAAAAGGTGAGAGGAGCGTATAATGCATTCTGCTAAGTCTCTGTTCACGCTGTACCAAATGTTTTACTACATACATTTTTACCACTCTACATACAAAAAGCCTAAATCAAACAGTGACTGTGTCATTGTGTTTCCTCAGACTAGAGGACAACCCCATGCCAAGGTTTTTTGGTTACGGCCCTGAGCGTGAAACCTTTGAACACCTGGCCCATAAGGTAAGGGGAACCACCTACATGTCCGTGACTAATGGACAAGTATGAATAGCTTGTTAGATCTCTGCATGTTGTTACTCATTCTTTGACTTCAGTTCAGGCTCCCAATGAAGTTCATAATGTCAAATTTGTGGCTGTTCTCCTCACTCCTGGGCAGGTAGTTACACCATCAGATTTATTCAGCGTGTTTCCATCTGACTGTGTCCTTTGGAATAAGTCTATTAATATGTTTTGTGTTGCAGAGTAATGGAAAGAAAACCAGACAGTAATGCTTTCGTAAGGACAACCACAGCTGTCACCATGTTTAATGCAGGTGTTAAGGTAATTCACAGTAAATCAGACTACAAGCAAATTCAGTTCTTCTTAGAAAATCCCTAAATTCTTCTTCACCTTGTAGGTGAATGTCATCCCTTCCCTCGCTGAAGCTTATGTAAATCTACGAATTCACCCTGCACATTCATTACAAGAGGTAGAGTCAGAAATTCAGTTCTTCCATATGTCTCATCATAAATACTCTGGCATGAAACACATGTGTGCTGTCTCATCTAGGTCCTGGACCTCATCCAGTCTACAGTGGGGGACCAGCGAGTGAAAATAGAGCTCGTTTATGGATTTGACCCTCTGCCTGTCAGCTCTGCTGATGAAAAGTCCTTTGGATTTCAAATCATTAAGAAAACAGTGCTGGACATGTTTCCAACTGTTGCAGTGGCTCCAGGTAGAATCCAGATAGCTTTTAATGAATAAAAAGTTAACTTATGTAGGTCAAAGTATTCACTGAGTGTTTTGATATAATGTTTAAATATGCAGGCATCTGTATTGGGAACACAGACAGTCGACACTTCAAAGACCTGACCAGTGATATTTATCGCTTCAGCCCTGTCTGGTTTAAACCAGGCGACCTTCAAAGGTAAGAGTCTAGTACATCTGCTACTGAATAAAAATGTACGCAACAAAGTCTACTGCAGTCTTTATAATAAACAGCTGGTGCAGTAAAAACTGGCAAACAAAGCAACTTCTTGAACAAAGGAGAGCTTTCTGCTCTGGTCACGTGTCTACATCACAGTTTTGTAGGGCTGTCAACAAATATTTAATATATGATTATGTAATTGGATGTTTGTAAAATCAGATATTCAACTGAAAATGAATATTCAATTGTGGAATAAAGCAGTACTAGCGTCGCTGTCTGCCTCCTGTGTCTCTGTGTTAGCCTGCACCGAATGCACTGCACGGTGGACAGGAGTCACACAACTTTAGTTAAAAATAAAATGTAGGTCAAGCTGAAAGGAGTGACTAGTTCAACAACAACCACATGTTAATGATGGCAGTGTTCCAAACCCACTTCAGCCACATAGAGAGTGGCACTTTGTGTGGACAGCCCCGTTTACAGATGCTTTGGACTTTGGACAGTAAACGCCAAAAATGTGAAACCTCGAGATAAAGTTTTGTAAGTAAGCTACAGTTAGTTTAACATTCCAGCACTAGTGGTTTAATTATTATTGATTATGTCAAAGAAGAATTTATTGTTCCATGTTTATCATGGAACAGCTCTCTGAGCATTGAATGTCCATTGTATATACTGTTTTGTAACATTTAGGTGTGTAGATCTTGAAGATGTGTTTATGCTGAAATGAATATACAGTAGTTAAGTCTCATACTGGTTTGCCCTCTTGCAGACAATGTGCAAAATGTTTTTAGAATGAGTATTCGAACCTCTGGCCAATTTTGACAGCACTACAAACTTATAATGCTACATTGTTCAGACTTAAAGTTCCCTTTCAAGAAATATAGTGATAAGATTTTTATGTATAGAACTAATCTTTTTCTCTCTGCGTTTGAAATAAAAAAGCCAATATCATGCAAGAACAGAAAGAAGGAATGTAAGGATTTTATTTTCCTAAACATAGCAAAAAAAATTATATATTTTTTGTTATTTTTTTTAGATTCCATGGCATCAATGAAAGGATTTCTAAGAAGAACTACGAGGACCTCGTAGCATTTTACTTCAGTTTGATTCAAAACAGTGACATTCAGAAGCTGCCAGAGCCTCACAGCTCTCTCCATGAACTCTAAGAAATGGAAAGCACTAGTAACAATTAAAGAAAATGCAATCCAACAACCTTTTTTGATGAATTTGGATAATGAATCTGGTACTCTACAGTAGTTTTTAAAACAATGCTGTAGTATCACTGACCACTCAGTAAAATGAATCCTGATTTGTAAAGGTGATTTGAACTGGAGTCGGGCATTGTTTAACGATGCAACAAACTTTTAATCATGTGCTTGTTGTCATTAGATATAGTTTACATTTTTTAAAATGATGAACATAATACCCTGTACACAGATAACATCATCATATCCCTGTAGTTTATGCTGTATTGAAAAACAAAGTTTATCAGTCTGTTGTAAAGATAAGGAGGCATTCAGCTACAACTTATTTCAGTTAACACAAGCTTGACTATCATGTAAATGATTAGACACCAGCTGTTTAACAGTCACAAATACAGAGAACCCAACAACTTTTAATCATCTAGCCTTTGAGAGATATTTACTAAACCTGTTGCAAATTACCGTCAGGTGTGCAAAATATGCAGTTTTTTTTTAGTGGCATATTTATTGACACTGATAATGTAAAAGAGCACAGCACAGATGTGTTAATTTGATTACACCTCCAATTCAGATCTGCTGCCTGAAGGCTGTTATGCACGTGTGGACTGAGAAAAGGCATAGAAGAAAGTCAATAGCAACCAGACTTGGATATGGTTGAAGAAATCAAACTTATTTCAACACTGGAATCACATAGTCTTCTACCAGTCAAATCATCTTTATTTTACTGAGTATTTGAGGTATGGTTAGACTTGAAAGTTCTCTGGTGAGTGATGGGACTAACAAAACACCCTCTCCCTTCTCAAAAATGTTAACTTTGAAGAGATCTCAGATGACTATTACCTGTCATGCTGAGACCAGTGCTGCAGATTTTACACCTGCTTTCTCCTGGTGCTAAATTTCAGCCACAGTTCCCTTCAACCTTAGTTTAATCAGTCCACAAAACATTTTCCAAATTATAAGGTGGAGTGTTATTGCACACCAGAAATGTGCACAGTAATACACGGTGGTTAAAACTAAACCAGCACGAACACGCCCAAACAAAAGGTTAGCTTCACTGACAAAGAAAGCAATTACTGGACATAATAAACAACAGTATCATCACATAAAGCATGACCTTAAACAATGCTATAATCAACCACACAAACAGCACACACGCCCAGCTCAGTTAGAAACACCGCCATACCACCTTGTTGTTATTACTCTCTACTTACTTACAGAGATCTATGGGAGAGAAGCAGTCTAAATATAAATGAGGTCTTACAAATGTTTCTAAAGCCATTGTACTTGATGACACATCAAAAACTCTGAATAAGGAGCACGTGGACGGTGTACAATAACAAACAGAACAGGCTTTTGAGTTTTCCAGTTTGGGTGTGAGAGACTCAGAGTGAGGCTTTCAAATGAGTTATAACTATGTTTATGTGTAGGGTTGATTAATAGGCTCACTGCCACGCCTCCACCCTGGCCTGTGCTTCGAGGTATGTGACAGTTACTGTGACTAGGTGGAGTGGATTCATTTAGGCTGACACATTCTTCCTGCTGTAACCACGTTTCAGTGTACAAACAATAAATCAATGTGATGTTCACTTATCAAATCATTCACTAACAGATTTAGATGAGATCTGATATTTACACATTTGATTTTCCTGTTATTTTGTTCTGTAAGAGCAGTGGTCTTAATTTTAATTATGTTTTATGAATAACTTCTCTTGAGTTGATTTTTGATTGATATAATTTACATAATAAATTAAGATTCACAACGGTGATTGCCCTGTTTTACATTGAACTTGCCACTGAAAAGGTTTTGCACCATCTTTTTGGTCTCCCCATTCTATTAACTACTTCCTGGACTTTGTACTTTTCCCCTGCATTTGTAGCACCTTTGGGATTTTATGAGTTGTTTTTGCACACTCAGTTGTAGTTACTACTTTAGCTTCCAAGCAATTGCTGTGTATTTCTGTTATACCTTAAGTCTGTGTTTATTTGCATTATAGTGTTTTGTTTAATATTAAATTTCTCCTTTTACTCCAGAGTCTGCTTATGACTCTTTTAGTCTAAACTGTAACACTGTTCATTTATACAGTATAGGTGTACCATTATAGACAATCTAATTTGGTTTGGATCAAAATCTGTTGAGATGACAGAAAACAGCTCAGTGAAACTGTCAAAATTTGCAGAGAACTTGGAGGTCTGTAAATTGTCAACAGTGGGCTTTTGCCTTATACAATATATAACTTTATTATTACTGATTTATAAATTGAGTAATATGTATTAATGGAAGGCTAAAATATATTAAATACATGCAAAATAAAACAACTGTACCAGAAAGACAAATCTAATCATACAATGGCTGAATACAGAACAACAAAAACAAACCCATACAATAGTAGCGTATTTGTAAAAACAATATAAATAAGGCAAATCAAACTGAATAGTAGCATGCAGAAATAATAAGGATATATATACCCAACCCTTTTAGATATAATTAACTCTCAGCAGTAGGAAAACAACTAAATATACAGGTCATTTTCTCAGATTTTAGTGATAGATACAAGAAAAATTTTATTGACAGATGTTTCATTAGCAGTGGAGAGTTATTACAAATTAATTTGAAAATGTTAGCATTGACGTTTTGAAATTTAGGCACAGATTAATGAGGCCTAAAAATTATAACTGCTAAGCATTTTTTCCCATACATACTTACTAAGGAATAAGTAGGAATTGCACATATAACAGCTTTTGAAAATGTCCCCTTTTGTTTAAAATAAGAAATAAAACCACTGGAGAACAGGGAAATGATTATTGTACAACTGTTGGGGGCCAATCACAGCATTTGCAATTTTCTTTAAACATCAAATCAGTTTGGCAGTATTGGATGAAGGTTACCCCATTGGCACAGTTGTAAAAAGAATTTGAGTCATTAGGGTTGGTGTAAACCCCATCACTCTATCCAATACAGGGACCTCCAGCAGGTGTTCCAGCTTTGATTGTTGTGGTTGTAGTAGTGTAAGATGTGGTGGTGGGTGTTGTTGTAGTGGAAGCTGTCATTGTTGTGGGAGTTGTGGTTGTGAGAGTTGTCACTGTAGTAGCTGTGAGCCAGTCACAGCATTTGCAGCTTTTGTTAAAGATCAGACCCGCTTGGCAGTATTGGATGTAGGTTACCCCATTGGCACAGTTGTAAAAAGAATTTGAGTCACTGGGGTTGGAGTAAACCCCATTGCTCTTTCCAATACAGGGACCTCCAGTAGGTGTGCTATGTTTGGTTGTGATAGTTGTTGTGCCTGTAATATTGGGAGTTGTTGAGGTTGTTGTAGTAGTTGCAGTTGTAGTAATGGGAGTTGTTGTGGTAGTTGGAGTTGTGGTTGTATTAGTTAGGGTTGTGGCTATGGTAATGGGAGTTGTCATTGTAGTAGGAGTTGTGTTTGTAGTAGTGGGAGTCATAGTTGTAATAGTAGGGGTAGTTTTTGTTGTAGTGGAACTTGTGGTAATAGGAATTGCAATTGTGGCTGTTGTAGTGGATGCTGTGTTTGTGGTACTTGAAGTCATGGCAGTTGTGCTTGTTGTAGATGGAGTTGTGGGAGCTTTGGTTATTGTAGTGGGAGTTGTAGAAGTCAGAGTTGTGCTTGAAACAGTAGGAGTTATTGTTGTAGTAGTATTAGTTGTGGGAGAGGTGGGTATGGAAGTTGGAGGTGTAGCTACAGTAGTGGGAGCTGAGGTTGTTATAATGGGAGCTGAAGTTGTAATAGTAGGAGTTGTGCTTATTGTAGTGGGAAATGTCATAGTACTAGTAGTTGTAGTTGTGGGAGATGTGGTTATAGAAGTTGGAGCTGTGGCTATAGTAGTGGGCGTTGAGGTTGTGGTAATGAGAGTTGTGGTTGTAGTAGTAGGAGTTGTAGATGTACTAGTAGGAACTGTAATTGTTGTAGTTGTGGGATTTATGGTTGTAGTAGTAGGGGTTATCATTGTAGTAGTGGGTGTTGTGGCTGTGGTAGAGGAAGGCATAGTTGAAGTAACAGGAGTTGTGATTGTAGTAGCGGGAACTGTCATAGTACTAGGAGCTGTGGTTGTGTGGGCTGTAGTTAGAGAAGTTGGAGCTGTGTCTATAGTAGCGGGAACTGTCATAGTACTAGGAGCTGTGTTTATAGAAGTTGGTGTTGTGACTGTGGTAGTGGGAGTTGTAGTTGTGGTAGAGGGAATCATAGTAGTAGCACTTGTGGTTGTTGTTGTGGGTGTTGTCATTGTAGTAGTAATGGGAGTTGTGGTTTTTGTCGGAGTTGTAACTGTAGTAGTGGGAGTCATTATAGTACTACGAGTTGTGGATGTGGTTATAGAAGTTAGAGCTGTGTCTATAGTAGTGGGAGTTGATTTTGTGGCAACAGGAGCTGTAGTTGGAGCTGTGGTAAATGAAGTCATAGGAGTTGTGATTTCAATAGTGGGAGTTGTAGTTGTGAATGAAGTTGTGTCAGTTGTGCTTGTAGTAGACAGAGTTGTGGGTGTAATAGTTGGAGTTGTGGATGCGGTTATCAAAGATGGATCTGTGGCTACAGCTGAGGTTGTGGCAATGTGAAGTGTAGTTGCAGTAATGGGAGTTGTAGTTGTGGGAGTCATTATTGTAGTGGGAGTTGTGGTTATAGTAATGGGATTTGTAGATGTACTAGTAGGAGTTGAAAGATTTATGGTTGTAATAATGGGAGTTGGGGTTGTAATAGCAGGAGCTGTCATTGTTTTGATCATGAGATTTACAGTTGTCATAGTAGGTGTTATGACTGTAGTAGTGGGAATTGTGGTTGTGGTAGAGGAAGTCAGAGTAGAAATAGAAGGAGTTGTGATTGTAGTAGTAGTTGTTGGAGATGTGGTTGTAAAACATGGATCTGTGGCTACACTAGTGGTAGTTAAAGTTGTGTCAGTGGGAATTACAGTTGCAGTAGTGGGAGTTGTAGTTGTAATAGTAAGAGCTGTAGTATTTATGGTTGTAGTAGTGGTTGGGGGTATAGTGGGAGTGAGAGTTGATTTAGTGGATGTTGTGATTGTGGTAATGGGGGCCATCACTGTAGTAGTGGGAATTGTTGTGGTAGAGGGAATTGTAGTAGTAATGGGAGATGTGGTTTTTATGGGAGTTGTAACTGTAGTGGGAGTCATTATTGTACTACGAGTTGTGGATGCAGTTATAGAAGTTGGAGCTGCGCCTATAGTAGTGGGAGTTGAGGAAGGAGTTATTGTTGTAGTAGTATTAGTTGTGGGAGAGGTGGGTATGGAAGTTGGAGGTGTAGCTACAGTAGTGGGAGCTGAGGTTGTTATAATGGGAGCTGAAGTTGTAATAGTAGGAGTTGTGCTTATTGTAGTGGGAAATGTCATAGTACTAGTAGTTGTAGTTGTGGGAGATGTGGTTATAGAAGTTGGAGCTGTGGCTATAGTAGTGGGCGTTGAGGTTGTGGTAATGAGAGTTGTGGTTGTAGTAGTAGGAGTTGTAGATGTACTAGTAGGAACTGTAATTGTTGTAGTTGTGGGATTTATGGTTGTAGTAGTAGGGGTTATCATTGTAGTAGTGGGTGTTGTGGCTGTGGTAGAGGAAGGCATAGTTGAAGTAACAGGAGTTGTGATTGTAGTAGCGGGAACTGTCATAGTACTAGGAGCTGTGGTTGTGTGGGCTGTAGTTAGAGAAGTTGGAGCTGTGTCTATAGTAGCGGGAACTGTCATAGTACTAGGAGCTGTGTTTATAGAAGTTGGTGTTGTGACTGTGGTAGTGGGAGTTGTGGTTGTGGTAGAGGGAATCATAGTAGTAGCACTTGTGGTTGGTGTTGTGCCAGTCCCCGCCGAGATCCACCTATTCCAGAACCAGACACGTGTGATGGCAGCGTGGACAAGTGCCGGGGTTTTTTGCTGCAGTGCCGCTGGGTGTTCGATCCTGGCTGGTCCAACACAACCCCATTGTGGACTGGACCACCGGCACCATTACCCAGTGGAGCCTGAACTGTGCATCAACCTGCCTCCTCGCCGGACAACCCGCATCTTCTTCACCTGCTACCCCTCCAGAGCCCTTGGACCTATCCTCCATCCCACCGGACTACCACGACCTGCAACAGGTGTTTAACAAACACCTGGCCAAGGACTCTCTCCCCCCTCATAGACCTTATGACTGTGCAATCGACCTGTACCCGGGAGCCACCTTGCCCAACAGTCGTCTCTTCCACATCTCTAAACCCGAAAGACAGGCTCTGGAGGAGTACATAGAAACAGCTCGACATGCAGGCATGATCCATCCTTCTTCCTCACCCCTGGGAGCAGGGTTCTTTTTCGTGGGGAAGAAGGACAGTGGCCTCCGTCCTTGCATTCATTACCGTGGTTTAAATGCCATAACTGTCAAAAACAAATATCCATTACCTCTC